ATTTTCTCTTCTAGGAAATTTAGTGTTTCTATTTTAGATATTTGACCCATTTTTGCTTTAGTGCATGGTAGTAGACATGGCTGTAGTTTTAGTCTTTGGCATGTGGAAAGCCAGTTTTTCAGCACCATTTATTAAGAAGGCTATCTTTGTTCCAGTGAGCATGTTTGACCCCTTTGTCAAAGATAAGGTGGCTGAGTATGTTTGGAGCTGTGTCTGCATCTTCTATTCTGTTCCACTGATCCTCAGGCCTGTTTTTTTTTTTTTTTGCCAGTACCATGCTGATTTTATCACAATAGCTTTGTAGTATAATTTCAGGTCTGGGATTGTGATGTCCCCTGCTTTACCTTTGTTGCCCAGAATTCCTTTTGCTATTCCATGTCTCTTCTAGTTTCAAATGAATTTTAGGAATGTTTTCTCTAGATCTCTGAGGTATGCTAATTGTATTTGGATTGGGATTGCATTAAATCTGTATAGCAGTTTTGGGAGTAGGGCCATTTTCACTATGTTGATTCTTCCTATTCATGGGCAAGGGATATCTTTCCATTTTTTAATATCCTCTTTGATTTCCTTTTTTAGTGTACTGTAATTTTGACTGTACAGATCTTTTACATCTTTTGTTAGATTTGTAGGTTTGTAAATATTTCATTTTTTTAGATGCTATTGTAAAGGGTGTGCTTTGCTTAATTTCTCTGTGAGCTTATTGCTTGTGTACAGGAATGCTATTGATTTCTGAGTGTTGACTTTGTATCCTGCTGTACTACTGAACTTGGATATTAAATTCACAAGTTTTTTTGCTGGCATTTTTGGAGTCTTCTATGTAGAGTATCATGTCATCTGCAAATAAAGATAATTTAAAATCTTTTCTTATTTATTCCTTTTATTTCATTCTCTTATCTAATTGCTCTGGCTAATGTTTCCAGAACTATATTGAATAGGAGTTATGATACTACATATCCTTGTCTTCTTCCTAATTTTAGAGTGAAAGCTTTAAAGTTTTGACCATTTAATATGATGTTAGCTGTTGATTTGTCATAGATGGCTTTTATAAGATTGATGTAAAAACCATCTTTTCCAATTTTCTATAGGGTTTTTACCATGGATGGGTGTTGGACTTTGTCATATGCTTTTTTTTGCATCTATTAAGATGATCCTGTGATTTTCATCTTTGGTTCTGTTAATATGGTATATTACATGTATTGATTTGTTGAACCATCCCTGCATCCCTGATTGAATCCTACTTGGTCATGATGTGTAATCTTAATGATTTGCTGTATTCTGTTTCTCAGTATCTTATTGAGGATTTTTGCATCTCTGTTCTTTAGGAAGATTGGCCTGTAGTTTTCTTTTTTTGGCTGGGTTCTTCTCTGGCTTTAGAATCATGGTAATACTTGCTTCCAGGAATGATTTTGGAAGTACTGCTTCCCTTTCAATTGCCTTTAAGAGTTTCAGCATTTGTGTCATTAGTTCTTCTCTAAATTGCTTGTAGAATTGAACAGTCAATTGGCCAGGGCTTGGGCTTTTCTTTGTTGGTAAATTTTTAATTGCATTTTCAACTTCATTGGCTGATATTGGGTTATTTAGAATTTTTGTATCTTCTTGATTTAGTGTTGGCAGTTCGATTGTGCTTCTTTGCTTTTCTGATCATGGCTGTTAAATTCATGAACAATTTTCAAGACATGTTTTGGAATTTTTTCCAATTTTTTCTCCTTTCACTCTAATAATTTGCTTTCCTGTTCTTGTGCTCACATTACTCTGATCTAACTTTTGTGCATATGCACTGTCCTGCACCTGATTATTTATACAGTATGCTTATTATTTTTGTTTTAGTGATCGTGACTTTTAGTGCAGTATGTGGAACACAGAAAGCATTGAGAATGCTTAAGGAAATGACTAAACAGGGAGGTGGACAGCAAGGGCAAACAGTCCTAAATCTCCCATGAAGAAAGCTTGAAGTATTTATTCATTTCAGTGGCAATATTGGTGGGATCTTTATAAAGTTCTTCTAAACAGAAGCCACAGTTTGGCGTGATAGAAGTAATTTTCCTGACCTATTGCTCTTTGAAGGTCCATTTACTCCATTCCTATTAATTTCTCTCCCAGAGGGGGTTGGGGATTTAGCTCAGTGGCAAAAGCGCCTGCCTGGCAAGCGCAAGGTCGTGAGTTCGGTTTCCGGTACCAGAGAAAAAACCAAAAAAAAAAAAAAAAATTTTTTTTCTCCCAGATATAGGCCTCTGTATATTATGTTCAATTAATTATGTTGAACCATATGAAAATACCAATATTTGACCTTTCAGTTTCATATGACTTATGCTATGGAGCTTGTGGAGGGGAGCTATTGGTCTTCATGCCTGTGTACTCCTTAGATGAGATTGAAGTGGAGCCTGGCATGGCAGTGGGTGGATTTCCCACTTAGTGGAATAAACAGGCTTGGCTTTCATATTCTCCCTATGAGACAAGAGAGAGAGAGGCTTCCTTTCCTGCAATCTTTTCCTACTTTCCTAGTGTTCAGCTGAGGGGCTAAGGAAATGAAAACTGCCACCTATCAGCATCCTGGGGCAGGAGCATTGACTTGGGGGATGCCCCTCTGTCTCTCAGATTGTGTCCTTTTGCTGCCTGATCACAGCACTTGACCTGGGAAGTGAAGGTCAGGAGAAGCGTCAGGAGGTCAGGTCCACCTGCAGGTTGTCTCGCAGCGGCCTCTGTTCAGAGGAAAGAAGAACCTCTCTTCTCTCCTTGAGCGAGAAGAGGGAGTATTGTTAAAGAAGAAATTATTCTGACCCTCGTTAAAATGGCAAGGAGGACTGATCCAGACTATGGTAATGTGGGCCATGACTGTCATCACAGGTGAGAGAGTTTAGGCTCGGCTTGGGGTACAGTGAAGACAGTTAGGAATTTGCAGCCAACCAGCAGTCAGAGGAGGGAAAGTTACTAAGGGGAGACAAGGAGTGTAGGAGGATTCTTGCTAAACTGACCTAACAGGGTTCTTGCTGAAGGCAGGCCAGGGTGATCAGATGGTGAGGATGGAGGATGAGGAAATTGATCAGCCCTAGTGCATTTGGGCTGCTAAAGCAGAATACTGTGGACTAGTCGCTTAAAATAGAAATTTAGTCCTCAGAGTTCTGGAAGCTGGAAGTCTGAGATAGAGATGTAATGTGGTCAAGTTTTGGTGAGGGCTCTGTTCCGGGTTTAGATGGCTGCCTTCCTGTTGCTTCCTCATGTGGCAAAGAGCAGAGCTCCTGGAGACTTACAAGGACACTAATCCCCTACCAGGGAGCCCCGCTCTCCAGATGTTATCTAATCCAAATGATTCCCCAAAGGCCCTACCTCTTCCTACCATCCCATTCATTGTAGGACAGGGATTTGTGTTAGTCACCTTTCCCGTTACTGAACAAAATACTTGACACTCATAACTTGGAGGAGCAGAGGTGTATTTGGCTCCTGGTGTGATTTTAGTCTGTGGCTGGCTGGCTCCAAGCCAGGAACAGCATGGGGAAAGGGCACGGTAGACCAAGCTGCTCACTTCGTGGTAGCCTGGAAGCAGAGCAGAGCAGAGCAGAGCAGAGCGCCCTGGAGGGATGAAAGCCCGTCCCTGTGATCCATCGCCTGGGCCCACTTCTACCAGCACATCCAGCCGTGAACACCACAGGACCACTCTGCTGATGAGTGTAATCCATCCCGTGATCCAACCGCCTCCCCAGGAGCCTGACAATTAAGATTCATTGGCACAAGTTTCAGTCTGTAAGTTTTGCGGTGGGTGGGGTGGGGTGGGGCACAGATACTCAGTTCATAACAGAGAGGGGGTTAGATATTCAGAATGGGTCTCTTTCTTTGTCTGACTTAGCAGGATTCTTGCTACAGCAGAGCAGGCTGGTAGAAATGAATGTGTGTTGGACTTTGTCAGATGCTTTTTTTGCATCTATTAAGATGATCCTGTGATTAGGATCCGCAGAGCCTGTCTAAAATGTGGTAAGGAGAGTCTTTGTCGGGGTCTGTTGGATCCACAAAGGTCACCCCCCCCAGGCACAGTCCAGTGCCACTAAAGAGAGAAGGTCACTGAGCTGAGTTTGCTGCTGGGTGCTATGAAGTGCTTTCCCATGGCGATCTTTCTTGGTTATATTTTAAAATTTGATCAATATTAAGATAGTGCTAGTATAAAGACGTTTCCCTCTTGTAGGTGACTACACTTCTATGCATTCATTCATTATAAAACATATATGAGTGTAAATCAGACAAAATATTCTCAGCCTTTCCTTCTTTTTAGTTACTTGTTCCCTGACTTCATATGGTGCATTAACAGGAGTCTGAGGAATTCAAAAGCATTTACTGGTGAAAAGTGAATGCTAGGAGAGTCCTTTATCATAGGATAAAAATTTGTTAGTAAAGACACCTGAGTCCAAGGGTCTAACGCTATGGTGATATGGGGTAAATATTAACATTTTCGTTATTAAGAAGTATGCATAACAGGAAGCCTTTTTAAAAACTATCTTCCAGCATATTCTTATGGCATATGAATTACAGAGTATCTTCTCAGGCCTTGGTGAGTTATCTTCAAGTCCCTATGTGTACAGAAACAGGATTTAGAATGATAGTGTATAGAATAAGGGCCTTGCTTAGGGCTGTGCTCAGAGCAGGATGTCTTGTTTTAATGCAGATTTGGCATATTCCTAGAGCAAAGTGCAAGAGGCTTAGTGTGAAAGATTCCAGAGAGGAAGTGCCCTCTGTGAACCAGGGGACTGCGGTGGGGCACAATCACAGGGGTGATGGATACCTAGGGGAAGGGAGAGCCTGCCAGCCTTCCCACGAGTGGTATTGCTGGTGAGTCAGGGTAGCTCCTACGCTGAATTGGTCCTGCTAATCTACATTGCAAATGGTCCAGTTTTTAAAGGGGGCATAAACCTTTTTGAATGGTAAATTTATGCAGAGGTTGAACATGTTACAGACCGAATGTTGTTTGCTCTGCCACACTAGTTATGACATAACCACTGTGCTTCCTGTCTCAGATGCTCAGAGGCACCGTGTCTGACTTTCCTGGATTTGATGATCGAGCTGATGCAGAAACTCTTCGGAAGGCCATGAAAGGCCTGGGTAAACTCAACCTCCTGTTTGTTCTAATTTTATAAAAGGAATTAATTACAGCTAGATTAAATTTAGAATAATGCTATGAAATTTGTAGGAGAAAAGACACATTAAGATAACAAAATAACACTATAGACCGTCCTTGGTATTCAGTCCTTTAGCCGTTTACAGACCTCTCGTCTGAAGGATTTCCACGTGTCACTCTTGTCTGCACCTGGGCTCCTTCTGCACCAGTGTGCTGCGGTCTGTGGCCTCCCAAGGTCTCCAAGGTCTTTGTGTCGTCCCCAACCCCACTGCCGTGGCGGCTGGACGTGTCCTCTGATCTGGGCTATCTGTTAGTCCTCAACGCCCTGCATTTTCCTGTGGCTGAGCTTTCTCCTTTTCCTAAAAGCCTGTCTGTCTTCCTTATATCCCTGCCTCTCACAACCCTTTTATTCCTCAAGACTGTTGTGGGTGTCACCATTTGCATGGAAGTTCCTCCGACTCCGTTCTACTCCCACCAAGCGGAGGCCCTCCTTGGAGCCCCACGTAGCACACAGGCCTCGCCTGAACCTCTTGCCATTCAGCCTCAGCTCATAGTTGTTTGTGTGTTGTATTTCGCACACCTAAATTATCTCTCATTTGAAGCCAGATTCCATACCTTGCTCTTTTCCCAGTCTACTGTAGCACCAGCAAATTGTGCCTCATGAATAGCTGTTGTGTTTGTTGCATGGAAAACTGGTAATGGTCAGTTTTTAAAAAGTAAAGAGTATTTTCCCACCTACTTCAGAATAAGTTGGGAATAGAGGGTAGTGTATATCAGAAATAAAGCATTTTGTGTGTTGTCAGTTTTATATTTTGAATAAATTATTCAGTAAGACATTAGTATATATTTTATATGCTTGTAGAGAGAAGAAAGCCAATAAAGTGAGTGGGGAGCTGGCTTTGGGGGTTACTGAGAGCGGGCATGGGGGAGCCCAGTTGTAATTGTTAATCATAAATTGCAGGTACCGATGAGGAGACCATCCTGACTCTGTTGACATCCCGAAGTAATGCTCAGCGCCAGAAAATTGCCGAGGCCTTTAAGACTCTGTTTGGCAGGGTAAGATCACACCTCATCCCCAGGTGCAGTGTGAGCAGAGCTGTGGTTTTAAGAGTTTCCTGCTTTCAGTGAGAGACTGGTTCCAGCACTCTCTGAAGATATAGAATGTGCAGATGTTCAAGTCTCTTATATAAAATGACATAGTATTTGCATATAATGTACGTACATCTTCCTATATACTTTATGTCATTTCTAAATTATTGTACCTAATGCAATATATCTACTCATTTATTTAGGGAATCACAAAAATATCTGTACATGTTTGGTACAGATGCAAGTTTTCATCCTAACGTTTTCAGTTGAGGTTGGTTGAACCTGCAGGTATAGAATGTACAGATACGGAGGAACAATTCTAGTAATTTTTTTTTTTTGTAAAGAATATTATTTATTTTAAAAAGAAAAATAATAATTTCAAGACAAGACAATCAATACATTGTATTGAGAGCAACAAAAATCAATACATTCTGTATTGTTATCTTCAGATCATTTATTTTGTGACTCTTACCTGTGCTTTTTTCTTGTTTTCCTCTAAATTATCAGCTGTTGGTGTGTAATGTCCTACTGACTTGTCCTCACATAATTATTTTCCTTGCCCGATGTTCTCAAGGTCTCAGAGGGCTCCTTTCCTCTCCTTCTTGCTCTGCTCTTCTTTTCCAGCTCTAAGCCTCTGCTGCAGTGCTTCGTTATGGCAGTCAAAGTCTGGGTTCCCTTTGTGGTGATTTTAACAAACGACTTTTTAATTAATTGATTTAGGTGCTTCAGTAGCAATTCAAAGTAAAAGCAATTACTAAAGGAATTAATGTGTATGTGAAAAACTTATATGTAATTTGGTTATCCTGAAAATTTATGTTTGATTAAAAAACAAAGGTAGAACAGAAAATTTTTTTTTGTTTGTTTGTTTCCTAAAGGATTGGGGATTGAATGCACTGTCTTTTGTGTGCTAGGCAAGTGCTCTGACACTGAGCGACTGTACATACCCGTTGCTACCCCTAAGAAAATGTTCTAAATATCATATCTTGTCACCTGGTATGCTGGAAATGATGGATAGAAATTGCTGTTTTCTTTTCACCATTATGTACTCATTTTTACCCGTAGTAACAGGTATCTTTCAGTGGTCGGAAGCATAAAAGTGACCAAATCTATTACATATATGTTATTCGATATTGACAGAAAAAATTGTTTAGATATGATACACTAAATAAACATGCATTTAGGATTTCATTTTGAAGGATACCTATGTTTCTCAGAGTGATATGTTTTTAAAGTAAATTTTTAGCCTACTTTTTTCCTTTTGTGGTATTGGGGATTGGACCTAGGGCCTTGTGCGTGGTAGGCAAATGCTCTACCGTGGAGCAACTCTTCAGTCTGTGCTTTTAGCTTACTTTTAGAAATTATTCATTCTTTTAAACTTTTGAAGTCAGTAAAAACATCTCTTAAAAACAAATGATGCCTAAGTGGCTTTGCTTTACATTTAAGTCAGATGTCAAAAACATGTTGCTCAGGGCCTGGGGTTTTGTGTGGCTCCTTGGACCTTCTCCTTGGAGGTTGCGGCACATATATTTCATTAAAGCAAAGGCTATCATTTGTATTTAAGATGAAGCTCTTTAAAATCTGTCTGGCTAAGCGGCTGTGTTTTCTGTGAGTTAGGATCTTCTGGATGACTTAAAATCAGAACTGACTGGAAAATTTGAGAAATTAATCGTGGCTCTGATGAAACCCTCTCATCTCTATGACGCCTATGAACTGAAGCACGCTCTTAAGGTAAAAGGATGCATGAAAGGAACATTGCTGTCATACACAATGTCATTTGTTTGGGTAATTACTACGTCTTAATTGTTCTATTTTAAAAATTGTATCTGATTTCCTTCCCTGAGGGCTACTTTTAAGGCACAACTGTAGGAGGCAATAAGAAGTAAAGGAGGGAGAGAAATTTAATGTCATTTAATAGTTTTGTATACTTAAACTCACGAACACTGGCTATTTAAATTCCTAATCTTTTAGAGCTTCTTATATTTTATTTTTGTGCCTGTCTTTCAATTTTGAGATGTGTTTAAAATGTTATAAATGAAGTGTTTTAACTCTTTAAAGTTGAAAGTTATGTGATTGGGAAACAATGAAGTAACTGGTGAATTTGTTACAATTTCACTTGTAGCAAAAACTAAATATGTATTTCCTTGAGTGGTGTTTGGGATATTGTATACATAAGGTTGCATGGAAACATTTACTTGGGGTTAGGAGATAAGAAATAGTTCAGGGATTAGGAGCTGGATTGTAAGAGGGAAATTGAGATTTAACCACAGGGAGATAATGTAGCTCATGGAGTCTTAGAGAGTAGAAGGAAAAAATTGTTTATTCAGTTAGAAACCTATTTTTGCAGATTCCCTTCATTTTCCTACAGTGATTCTTTTGGAATAAACAAAATAGAAGGTTGTTGAGGAAAGGGCTTTCTTAGAGAATGTTTCTGGACTGTCAACAGTAGCTGAAATTCTACCAGAGGATGAAGCCAGGTTTTTAGTGCTTCATATTTTTGGATAAAGAAACAGAAATAAAAAAGGATATAGGCTTAATCCTTTTTTAAAAAATAAAGTTCAGCCATAGTATTGCTTATATTTTCTAATTTAGCCATAGAGATAAGACTTTCATAAGCAGAAAAAGGAAAATCAACTAAAATTATTTTCCCAAAATCTAGAAAGCAAGTTTTAATTCCTCTATACTGGTACAATTCATGGAAACTAACCAATATTATCTTTATTGTTGCCTATGTTCACTTTCCATTACTGTAGAAAGTGCCTGAAAAGCTTTGTTTTGGCCTACCATGTTAGAGTTTCTGACTGTGATAGGCTGGCCCTGTTGCTTTGAGCCCATAGCCAGGCAGGGCGTTATGGCGAGAGCACATGGCTGAGTAAAACACTCCCCTTACTGCTAGGAAGTAAGAGAGAAGGATGAGGGGGCCAGGGTTTTACAGTCTCCTGCAAGGTCACACCCCCAGTGACCTGAGGACCCCTTACTAGGTCCCACCTGTCCTGGTAGTGCTGGTAGTACTGCTCTGGATCCAGGCCTTTATTTTTATTTATTATTTTTTAGTTTAAAAAATAAAAGAAGGAAAACACATTAACCAACAGACATCCATTTACAAAATAGCATAAGAACAATACAAACAAAACAGAGTTACA